ATGTTTACTTAGATACAGTAGTTGACATTGCTAGGAGCCAACCACAGTGGCGTTTGTGTTATGAGTTTCTTTGTATCTCCTTTTCCCTTTTATCTTCCTCTCCCAATATGCACCTCTCAAAGCATAGATAACAGGGCACAACTTTATTTTACTTATTTTTAGCTTTTGATATTCTGTAATGTTTTGCTTCTCGCTCTTCATATATTTTTTGTATCTGCCCAGTTAGCTGAAGTGGGTTTCTCACCTTCAGCTAATATCTATGATGATGCTTAATATTTCTCATTCCCCAGGTTGTCTTGGTTATGGTAGCGAAGCGTCAGTTCAGATGGCTGATGTGCTCCTGTTTTTGATGGTGTTGGAATATTATCAGGACCAAGCGACGTACTCAGGAATGTACATCCACTGGAACTTTTTATTGTTGTAGTTCCGCCTGGACTTTTAGGCACGATGCTTCTTACATAAAATGATGCGAAGCAACATTGTCTGCGCATAAAGCGCGATGTGCTTCTCGCTTTGCCCTGCCTTTTTGTCTGAACATCACCGTGTTGCTCTGAGAAACTGGCGTTGCGTTTACGTTAGATATCTAAGAGTTTAAATAAAGAAGTGCTCTATTCTCGACAGTGCGAGACACCTGCATTGGAATGATCTAGGAGGCATGATCATCCGGTTATTTTCATAATTCAGCCTCAACAGTTAATGGATGAGTATGAATCGCACATCAACTAATCTGTTGCGATGGCTTAACGGATGCGATTGTATTATAATTCGCTTCTGTTATCTTCTACCTCTGTCTGCGCGATTCCAGTTGGACTAACATCGTTCTCTGGTAGCTCCGAATCCCAGCCGGAAATCAGATGACAACGTTTGCAGGCAAAAGCGTGCTGCCGAACCAGCTACCGAAGGGATATAAGTAGTTTGAAATCATCGGACATTTTTATAAGTCAACCAAGGTAGAACAGCTAGGTCAGCTGTCCTGATTGTTAGATCAGTTTCGTTCGCAAATGAGAAGGCTGGTGCACTCGTCTTATGGACACGGATGTTCCTGAAATCACTTTATGTCTCGGTTGTACATCATTGTCTCGGCTTGTTTTTCCATTGAATTAATGAGTTTTTCTCGGAGATTTTGCTTTCTCTGACAAATTCTGATATTTGGGATTCAAAGACTAACCTTTGGTACTCAGTTCATTATCTTACCAGGCACCTCCGTAACTACGTGATCATTCGGCGCCACGGATGCAAATTCACTTGATTCAATGGTATGTAAAATAGGTACAAAGGTGGATATTATCCGACTTACAAATAACGCGCAGTTTGATAAGCTCTGCTATTCTCACGCCTATCCCGGATGGAGTTTAACGTTACTCTGGATATACTCTGGATTATTATAACCACGCAATTAATTAACTTTGAGCGGCATGTGATCTTGGGGCTTAACATTGATTACAGTTGCGTAATTATTACCCTAAGTGGAGATTTTTATTGCTGGTTTTGCGAATCTGATATCTCTCAACCATGACAAATACTCATGTTTTACTTTATCTACCTATCATCCTGTCGGCTGGGGGCCGAATGGTCTGCACGTTTGCTTTGCAACCATAAGGTTACTGGTTCGAATCCGCGTAGGGGTGGGCGTCCTCGCGGTATACTCTGCCCGCGCGCGACTGGTGGTGGTCGCGCGGCAGCGAAGCGCCGTTACGGCGTACAGCTGACACATTATTATTATATTATTACCTATCATCCTCCCATGTTATCCGTGGCACATACAAAACCGGTTGGCCACCTTTCTTTTTTACGCAAGGCTGTAAAATATGCAGTCATATGGCCTGGCTTCTACCTCTTTTCAGTACTCTTTGCCACTGCGACTGCTCGACATAAGGCCATATTGCAGATTTCCTGTCCTTTGTCTCAAGTTCCGCACACTGATTTTGTTGAACGCTATTTCGCACTGACCAATTTACCCCTAGAAAATCTCCGAATAGCAACCTAGTGATCTATGGTGTGTTGGCAAATTTATTTGATGATATTGTTTTCGAAGAGATTAAACTGATTTTGTGTTATCTTGAGCATTGTGCGTAACTCTAGACTTCAGACCGACAGACTTATGTTTAAGGCTAGTGCAAGGTTACGGGCCTCCGACGAATGGCTGTGTGGGTGGTCACATTGCGGTTGTTTTGAAATGTACCTCAAATTCACCATGCCACACCTAAATAAGTGCCTCTAGAGAAGACAAGGCGTTCACGCTACCCTTCTCGTTTGCTTATCTGCACATGGGTTGGCAGGGAGGACAAGCGCAACTGAGATGCCGAATAAACGGGATTGTGTTTGAAACGTAAAGACAGTCTAGCCAAACTCCGTGGAATGCCGAATACTGAATACCGAAATTAGAGAGCCGGAAAATATAAATATGTTTGCCCCATTTTAGTTAGATCGGGCACTTGCGCGGAATCACGTCGCTGATCCTGCGCGGTGACAGTATATTAAAGCTGCTACATCTTATCCGGGTGCGAGACGCTCCCTATATCTGTAACCCACAAAGTGGGCATCTAGGAATCCCTAATTCCGACACCGGTTTCGTCTTGACTATTGTCTCCGGCAGATTGTTCTTATATTTCACCACTCGACGCTCGAAGCATAGTGGATGAGCGATACGCTTCAAATCCGGTCCCACCAGTTTATCCCGGTGTCCGCGTGTGCAGCTTGGTGCGTGGACGTACAGTAACGGCCTCAACCTAGGGAAGCCGCTTAGCTGCCAATATCCGGTGTGTCATTATACGATCAACTCGAAGCCGACCATATGACAGGGTATACAGTTCTAGTCTTCTATATCGGTCTTCGTACGACATACTCCGTAAACTGAGAATGAACCGGGTAGCTACATGCCTAACCCGTTCCAGTCTCTGCACATCATCTATTGTGATTGGACAGTGGGCAAGTGAGCCGTACTCAAGCACCGGTCTTTCCATGGAAAAGAAAAGGCGCGTGGCCTTTGCGGGCCGGTGGCTGAGTGGTCTGCGCGCCTGGTTTGCAACCATAAGGTCATCGGTTCGAATCCGCGTATGGGTAGGCGTCCTCGCGGTACAATGCCGCGCGCGACTGATGGTGGTCAAGTGGCAGCGAAGCGCCGTTACGGCATACAGCTGGGGATTCATTTTCAGGCCAAGTGCAGAAGTTGCGTCCAAGCGCCCAAAGCAGGCATAGTCTGTTTCCGTAGTCTCTTCGTGTTTTCGACGGAATTCAGATCACAGCGTGAGAGTGAACTTAGGTCCTTTAACGGAGCTTATGGGGTACAGCATTTGGCCGGCTAGGGTGAACATACGCCCATTATTATCCTTCCCCAGACTCCTAACTGACGATTTGACCGGGTTGACAGGCAGATCAACTTTTGCAGACCACAGGGACAGGCGGTCGAGGTCCTACTGAAGATCGTCACAGCCGTCGGGAGAATCAATAACCATCCAACTCTTCAGGTTGTTTGCAAACAAAGCACAGGGCGACCGAAGCAGCTGATGTACTTCGTCTATGTGGACCAGGAACAAAACGGGCCCCAGTACTGTGCTTTGGGGTACACCGCTAGTGGATGTATGCCATTCCGTTAGGCTCTCATCCCCCAATGAAGTAGTTACTGATCCACTGGTGCAGTGCGCCACCAACACCACACATCCTCAGCTTGTGGAGGAGGACCTCATGGTTAACTTTATCGAAATTTTTACTGAAATCTACCTAGATAACATCTACTGATCTTCGGTGGTTTTTCGCCTGTGATCATCCGTGCCGCGTCAGCAACACGTTGGTGATACAGGAGCGGTCCGTCATGAAACCGTGCTGTGCAGGCGTTATGAAGTCTTTTGACTCTAACAGCTGGAGAAGAACCTTTTTCACAATCGTCTTGAGCCAAAACAGAAATCAGACAAACCGGCCGGTAATTGTCCACTTTGCTCGCGTCACCGCCCTTCGGAATCCATTTCACTACCGAGCATTGCCGGTCGCTTGGCGATGCACCATCAGACAATTGATCTGTTGGACATATCAGTCATGCAGATCCGCGGCGGTCACCCACGGCTTAGTGGCTTAAGCAGCTGACATCCGGAAGTCATGGGGTAGAAACCCGGCAGGGGTCCGAGGAAAGCGAATCACTGACGAGACCCAGAATGTCGAAACAGCGCTGTCTGGTGCTTTTCCAGACTTGCCAAAGCCTGCTGACTGCAAGAGGACTGTGATGAATTACCTCTGAATTATGCCAAGAAATCCCCACTACTCCTTAGTACTTTGCGGATTACAGACTTAAGGAGCGCATCACACCCGAATAGGATATGGCGCAGCTGTAATATGCTGCAAACGCACAAATTCGGTAGCCTGATTCTGCGCACGTGCCCGGTCTGACTACTGTGGCACAACACTGGTGTATATATTCAGCTCTTTATTATCAGTATTCACTAAAGGGTCCACTTTTTCATGCATGTTAGCACAAAAGGGGCAAAGTGGCTAGGAATCGTATCTTATGTTTCCGTTTGGAAAATTGGTAAAAAAACGATGATAAAAATGAACAAAACCTGTCCGCTGACCACTACCGATCTTGTCTGTCTGTCTTCTGTATGGGCGCGCTTGGACTATTCTGGACCGTGTCTTTTATAGTAAACTGTCGTGTGGATACTAAGTTCCTGACACAAGACACGGGTCTCCTTTTTTGTGGCCATCCTGTATAAGCCACTGTTCAAATAGTGTTGTATTGGTAATCAGCCCCGTCGTGGCTCTGGTAAGCGAAATACTCTTGCTTTTTTGTCGAGTTTAGTTACCAACATGGTTGGTCGGATGAAATTTACGATTTCTGCTTAGAATGCTTAATAGCTTAGGCACATGTTTTTTCAACACATAAGGCTGTTTTGGCTCGCGGCATCATTTTTATCCTCTGCGATTCTTCCTGCGCTAATGCCCTATTTCGGTACGATCATTAGTGGCTCCTATCTTCAAACACTTTAAGCGTTTCGTTTTGTTCCCTCCAGGGTTGCAAGCTCAATGATGTTGATGTGATATACACAATGTGGGAGAATTTGAAGAAGACCGGTGATATGGCTGTGGGTCAAGTTGGCTTTCACGATCCGAAACTTACACGTAAACTCACTGTAGAAAAACGGATAAGTGAGATTATAAGAAGGCTAGAGAAAACCAAGGAGGAACGGCCCAACTTTGACCTTAGAGCGGAACGTGAAGAACGCGATCAGAGAATGCGAGCCAAAGAGAAAGCTGCCCAGGCTGCTCGTAAAAAGGCTGAACGCGAGGCTCAAAAGTTGAAGGAGGCGGAGGCAGAGCGACGGTCGTACGATCGGTTGTTTGTAGAAAGCAAAATGCGGACCAATGAAGACGGATACGATTCAGATGATTTTATGTAATTTGATACGATGACTTCAGCTTTTGTTCTTGTGCTCATTTTTCTCACAGCAAAGAAACACTAAAGCGTTCTTTTTGACTTTTATTTTCGTTTCCTTTTTGCTTGGTCCTTGCACCATCCAATCAAGTTCGTTTCACATGACCGAGGCACGTGCCGGGGACAGCATCACAGTGTGTAACGTAAATGAGCTACCGCGGAGCTAGCAAGACAAATCTAATGTACACAGGCAGTCACCTTCGCTTGGGAAATTTTAATTTCGATATAAATGCCTTCTCATTACTTTCGACCAGCGATGTACTTTTACTGCAACAAGACTGTACGGGTTGCGCACCTCTTCCTTCCATTGCGCTACACTTCCTCAGACCCTTAGGCACCTTGTGAGCTACTCCAGGTTAGGGTTTGAATACGGGATGGTGTCCATTTCTGTAAAGCCGGGTCGTTGCAATCTCATTGCTGCCTTGCGGACAGATTCTTGAAGCAAAGCCCTTGATTGAGGACCCTAATTGTTCTCCTGTCTAGGTCTAGACGCCTTGGCGGTACCTCAGCGCACGTTCAGTCATGACCATTTCAATAAATTTCAGTGACATGCTGCATCGGCCGATGCGCAGCTTTAAAAACGTCGCCTTTTCCGAAGCATGTAACAGGATGGATATGCGAAAGTATACTACGACGGAGGCTTTCCATCTTTCTCTTTTACCCGTTCCTTTTAATCCCCTCCCGACTCCCCTTACTAAGCTTCCCTCTATAATTCTGAGATCACTTAACAACAACCGCGATACCACTTTACTTCTACCATCTGCAGCTATCTTCACTCACTGCCCACTGAACCTTTCTCGGCTACAGCCCCTGATAAGATCACGCTATCCAATTTCCCTGGCTATATTCGACTTTCACACTCTATGACAAATAGGTCAACAGCCTGCACTCGCACGCACGTTGGACACACTGAGTATTGACGTGGCTTATGAGTCCGAAACCAGTATCAATGATCCTCACGTGGCTGTTGAACTAACTACACTCGGCTTGTCCTCTCGCTATTTTTACGCTCATCCGGAATCGCTGATATGCCATCACTAGCCAAGCTGGGATGAGCATCGTTCTCAGCCCGGAGGCTGAGTCCTTGGTGGATGATTGGTCTCCTGTGAGCAGCTGTTGGTATGCAGCCCGTTTGACGACATCAGTGGAGGTTAATTCACGAAGCAGCACAAGACCTGTTTGTTTGCGGTTTCCGTTTAGACCCCACCGACTGCAATTCTGATGTTACCAAGGCCACCTACGACGAGCTGAACACGCTGCTTAGCAGTGTTATCAATCTAAACACCGTTTTTTGCAGAGGATGTGAATCTGCAACTAGGGCGTCTGAGCTCTTCCTAAGCCGATCTATGTAGTAAGTGTAGCCTAACTCCGACGAGTGAGCATCTGTTGCAACTGTGTGCGTTGAACCGTTAGTTTCTTAGCAGCACCGCTTCTAGGCACAATGGGCACCGAAATGCCACATGGCTTCCCCCTAAAGCTGGCGAGCGGTATACCCAAATGGATCGTGTTGCTGTAAGTTGTAGGTGGTTTGTCGCTCGTTCTAGAATACATGCGTCGAATCTGATCATGCTTTATTACTCCTTGTTTTTCATAATCCTTATCAGAGGCGTACCAAGTGTTTTCATCGATTAGCAACTGGGAATTTATCCCATCTCTCTGTCAGACAAACTTACCATGATGCCCTGCGTACCGGACTTCCGCTTTCCCACTCTAATGACACTGAGCTTAAATGGAATGGGATCTCGGCAGCCGTGCACGATGCATGAATCTCTGCTTACGACACCATCGGTCGTCACCGCACCAGTCATTGAATCCCCGAGAGGTCGGTGAACCATCCCACGGACCTTTCAAGCCTTGCCTTTTGTTAACCCGTATTATACCAACGTTCGCGACAGACCCTGAAGCTCTTGGTCGCATACTGGTTTTGGGACGTATAGACACACCGAAACCGATGGTCCGGAACAGCAAATGAACTTCATTCGAACGAATCAAGGCCTTAAACAGCTTGAATCCTTTAATATAAGAAAACAAGAGGCACGCACCGTGCGTTGGGCTGGAACGGCATTATTGTGTTCCCAGTGGTGCTGACCATCCGCATCCACCAATGCTTACGTGTATTACTGAAGCGACTAGTCAGAAACCGGACAAGTTGAAATCCACTCACGAAGAGTCCCGCTTCCATCAGACTTATCCAAGCTCCAGAAATTCACTCACCAGTCAAACATCTCAGAATGGGCAGATAAGTGGAAGCAAGCCCCTCTTCACGGTGCAGCGGACGTTATTCAAATGCGCACTCAATACACCTGCCTCGTCCATCATTGGTAAATGTCGCGCTTCAGATAGATATCACAATTTCGCGGACTGCAGATACTATTGACAAACAAATGCTTCCAAAGTTAGCGCTTTTCTGGGCATTATGTGAACGCACGTTAGAGTAATGTGAAGTCTAGCACCTAGGCTGTTTGAATTCTACGCGAAACAATGGGTCCCCATTGTAGCCTAGCCGTAGCGGAGTGAGATTATGCAAAAGAGATGACAACGCGTTAATCTACTGTGCATGTAGCGAAGTAAGGAACCGTTTTGCCGAATCGTCACAAGGCTATCCAACGTGTCGTATAGCCTCCAAGCTTTGGTGTTGAACAACACTATATGATGCTCGCGGTGTTCTTGAATATCATCGCTAACATATACCATGCGAGCGCTGACGTTACAGCATCGCCGGGATGGAACGAAACACTTTCAAGTCTCCTGATTTAAACGAACAGACTGAGGTTCATAGCTTCCGCATAGACTAAACCCACAGTGAAGATAAGTGCCGTTTTCCAACGCAACAGGGACATTTTAACGACTCCCACAAGTGTACTTCTTCGACAGAGTGCAGAAATAACACGGAATGCTATGAATAAGAAAGAATTCGGAAATTTTTATCCGTGTTTACAAGTGTATCGGAAGTGCAATGCTACTATACATGGTAGTTTAGTCGCTTCCAGAAAGCTTCCTCCGTTTGTTCGCAGGACTGTCAACATATTGAGACTTGGTGGATTTGTGCCGGTCGAATCCTCGTTTGCGATTACCAGTTAAAGCGGTTCGCAATGAAGCACCAGGACGAATCGTCTCCATTTTGTCGGACTTTCCCACATGAACACGTCCAATGCGACTGCCGAAAACATCTGTCTCTTGATTTCGCGGAGTCTTCTTTGACAACATTGTCTCCGGAGGAAGGCGGTGCGCTCGTTTCCACTTCTCCTGTGAAAATTAGTGAATTTGTTAAGTCAGATGCGGAAAACTGACGTAAACTAAAACCGCACAGAAGTGTGAAAAATGATTTGCCAAAAATCAAGTAGGACGGTTTAGTTAGTTGAGGTCCATGCACCGAGGTGCGGTGGGTGCATGCGCTAGGAAATATCCACGACAAGAATAAGAAATAACATTGCGAATGGAAAAGACCTAACCATGTCGCTTCAGAGCTGATCCCTGTGACTGTTTAAAGCGATTTTCTTCAAATTGAGTCGCTGTCGTAATTGAGATGGCGCGTCGCAATCCATTCACACAGAGAACTTCAAAATGACCCCCACATAGTAATAACGAAAACATAACTTCGCAACTTCAAAATCGGCCGTCCATGTTCTCATTGGAATACTCTCGTGCTGCAGACAGCGGGTTTTACGTTTTATTTCTACCTTGGAAACAATTTGTTTTCATGAACTAGTATCAATCATGTCCTACTTCTCCAATCCTTTAAAAATGTGATATGGCTCGAAATCTGTAAATCATCAAATCATCATCATCACATTATACACGTTAGCTGCAGGTGGAAAACACCTCAGTTATTGTGCCCCAATACTAAAGACAAGAAGAAAAATATACAACAGTGGCACGCCGGCTGAGTCCCCAGTAACGGATGGACATCGTTCCGGAGAGCTAACAGCTGGAATCATCAAATATCGTCACAGTTAGGAAAATGTGTAAAGGAATTATGAGAAAACACTTTAGAAACAAGTGAAAGTATCGTACTGGCTGGCTATCCGCTTCCAATCGTTGCTCCGTCGACAAAGCGCAAGTTTTACTAATGTTTTCCGGTAATGTGTACCAACTTTTTGGTAAAATTATTGAGCTCGTTGCCCTTAAGCATCGAAGTACAGGTTTAATTCCGTCACAAGAAAGTTGTTAATACTGATGCGGAAGATGGAATTATTCAACTCGGTGGAAACTGTCCCATCAGGATTGATCGATCAGGAAACACCCAGTTTTATTAAGTCAACAAACCTTGGTACAATTCATCAACCGTACTATTCACATACTCAATGACCTCTATAGGCTGTCATTTAACTGAATGCCAACCGAAGTCCTTAAGAGGCTTTAAACTGGTCGTCGCTAGCAACGTCTACATTGTTCCTGACACATCTGTGTCAGAGTCCATGTCTTTCTAGAACCAAGTTTCTTCCATACTATTGCCTGAATTCGATTGTCTGACCTATATTGTTGCAGAGGACACTTGGCTTGGTATAGCTAGTGACTGTTTCGACCAGACAGGATATGCAGCTGGGCCTTGTTTACACAAAGTGCAGTTGTTTTCCACACAAAAATGGGTTTATTTGTGTAGCTCAGACCATTGTGTTTTAGAATTGTGTTTAAACATATGCAGCAGGGCTATTTTTGTCACGCTGACCAGATGTCCTTACAAGATTATCAAATGGTGAGATTGCTCCGTCGAAAATATCACAAGACTCCAGTCGATGTTTACCTTAAGTAATTTTTCAGTCTTCAAGGATGAAGACCTGTCGATTCACTGTGACCATCTTACAGAACATATCAAATATGCTTTGAAATGTGTCGTCCTGTTGAAACGGTCTAGCTAAAAGCAGATAGATTTCCATCACAACTGTTGAAGCGACTACTTGCGTTCAGATTTGCAAGAAAGCTTGGCTACTGTTAGGCCCCTGGTTCCGATGGAATCACTTTTCTACTTAACTAACCCACTCTCTAACCCGTCATCCGACCACAAGCTGGCAACTTTATTTCCGTGATTTCCGCGGAGATATCGGAACGGATTATCCGGGCAAATAATGTTATAGTGCTTAATATCGAAGATAGGTTACCTCTGAAGAAGCGGAAATATTTACTACTAGAAACCGCCGGGTTTCAGAATGTAGAGTGCTTTGCCGTACGTCTAAAAAGTGCTGAAAGCATACGTGCCCAGTGCTAGTGAAATTCACAAAACTGATGGTGCTAAACTTTTAAAACGGAATATGTCAACCATAAGAGCGACAACTGAAGTTAAGAATATAGTTACTAAGTCAGGTAAGACATCACTTGAATGGATGCATGTGCCTGTTCCACAGAGAAACAAAATAACGCATCCGGCCGCTCGCAAACTGAGTTACGAACTGCATGTGATGAGGATATCCACGCGAAGATTCATTGCGCAGCTGACCTAGATGAGTTCGTGGCTACGATTGTGTTAACCGATCTTCAGTAGCAACGCCACTTCGATCCAGACATCTAATACTATCACAAATGCCCCCGACAGAATTAGTGCTGACTCCGACATTATCCACAGAGATGCCGCTCAAGTTATCAGCCTATCGTTGTCACAGATGGTGCAAGCCTAGATAACATGATCAGCATCAGCGTCACACAGGATTTACCCTAAAAGCTGAAGAATTGTAAGACAATGCGTACCTCCGTTGACATATGCTGCAGCTTTAATAACACCGACAAAGCCAGTTCAATTAATTTGACCAAGTTAAAGAAGTGAGCACTTCTGAGCCCAACTGTTGATCGGTTCGCCGGGCTTGACATCGACCCCCTGTAGCAACAATTGTGAAGGATAGATCGCGTGCGAATCGAAAGGAGACATGCGACTGCTAGGCCGAGCGACCGCTTCAAGTGCCGTGGAAGATGTGGAAAAATCACGGGACGAGACGATGTTGTCAGTTTCAAAAGTCACCTGATCGCCGATTACGGAAGGACGATTCAAGAGACACGATCGCCCAACGCACATAACCGCACTGACGATGCCACCCCATATGGTGGCGAAATGTATGCAGACATTTAATCAAGTCCGGCGAAACAACCAACAGATAAACAACCAACCCACGCTACCATCGTTTCAAATCTTTTCGAACCTCCGAGCAAACTCATAGCTTTTAACATTCCTGATACTTTTCCAGTAGACTAAGTATTAAAAAGTATTACTGAATACTGCAATTTGAATGGCAGATTATTATGAGCAATCAGGCTAACACAAAGACGAGCCGATTATCCCTGCCATACAATGCTCTTTCCTTCTGATCTGTCTACCGTGAATTCCTTGCTTAATCAATGCGCTCGACTCCGCCGACTGACACCATATAGGAATCTAAGATTTAGGTATCAAGCTACTACTAACTAAATAGGCAAACCGACTGTTTCCTACAGTACCACCCAACCCAAGTCTGAGAGCGAAGGCTGCAAATAGGGTCCTAAACAATGTTCTAACGTTTGAATCCCATACATACTAAGCTCCTTTTTCGGTTTATTGGCGGCCACACGGCCACCAACCCCAATGAATCAGCAGTCCTTGCAGTTCTTCCAACAGATCAACTTAGCTCAAATATGCCTGAAACCAACAGCATGTAATCCGACTGGAGTCACGCAAGTTTAATCACTGCATAGGATGACGCCCTTTGTCCAACCACTTACAGTCAGTAAAAATACCTACGCAACATTGATACGTTAGATTACTTCTCTTAAATGCTCGGTCTCTCAACAACGAAATGCATCACCTACGTTCTCTGCTGCTTCTCTCCTGTCCTGACATTGTACTTGCCACGGAGACTTGGGAAAACGAATATACTTCTGATACCCACATTTACATCGCAAACTTCTGAAGCTGTAGTAGTCGCATATCCCGCCGTAGTGGCGGTTACAGCATATATGTGGACAATAAGCCCTATGCAACTTCTAAAAAGCCTTGATGAATCGGTTTGGATTGACATTCAAATGAAGTGCAAGACCATCTTTATTGGTTGTGTGTACAAACCATCACACTGTCGTAAATCGGATATCGATCACCTCGCGGAAATGCTCTCAGATGCTTATGAGCAGTTGGCAAATTAGTAAATTTTGGGTGGAGATTTCAATGTGCCTGAGATCTCCTGGTATCCATTACGGTTCCGTATTTTGTTTCAGCAATCGATACCTTTGGTTGGATTCAACAAATTTCCAAAAAACGGGTGAACACTTGTTAGATCTAAGGTTTTAAAAAAGATAAGTCTTAGAAGTAAATGCAACCGCCCCAATTTTCCTGGGGGTGACCACAAAATAACAGAGATTTGCTTCGAAGGAATCGTCTACAACCACGGTGCATCGTATCACAATACTAACTGGAGAGATTTTGCGATCTCTAGAATGGGATAACTATTTCCTTTCCCTTTAACCTCAACGTGTAACTGACGTGTTTTACAAAAATGTAATCTCGTGTTTAGATATCTTCTATCCGATGCGTCATAGACGTACTTCTCACAAGATGAGTCAGAACACTCTCCCGTCGTTGAAGAAGCTACGATATAGACTTCAAAAATCTAACAACTTTAGTCTGTTAATTCATAAAAATTAGATGTCATCATTAGAAACAAATCGGTCCTCAAAACTTCACAGAAGTGACCAATGCCTTAGCCTCTTGAAACAAACCAAATGAAATAACCAGATTATTCCAGCTCAGGGGCAATTTCAAACATGACGTACCACCTTCCACTAGACTGTCTGACAACAGTCTTTCTGAAAACGCGGCTCAGATGTGTGAGGTTTCCAATGAATACTTCTCGTTTTTCAGAGCCGCGCACAGTACCGAAGGTGAGCATCCCTGCTAAAACTGCGGATTACATCAGTACTGTTGAATTTGAGCAATCGGACAGAAGAGATCTGATAAATTCAATGCGATCGAGTCTTTAGTCTGGCCCGGATGGAATACCGTCTGCAGTATTCAAATTCCGAGGCCCTGATGTCCCCATACTGCTTCAAAATATTTTACGTTATCCATGAGGTCTGGGATTGTACCAGATGTGTGGAAATATGCACTGGTTGCACCAAGATATAAAAGTGACCCACGTCAAATATACACGAGTTATCGGCCCATCAGCCATACCTCCATTCTGGGTAGAACAACAAAAGCCAAAGTCGTCGAACTCCTATCCTTCTATAAATTGAACAACACTTCCAAGCACGGACTTATGAAAATAGGGTTATATATTACTTGTCAAGTG